TTTAGAATTATTGTTGAAGTTAAGTCAGGCCTGTGGGAGCCAGCAGGTCATTATTAATGCTGAGAAGTCTACATGGAGATGGATAGGTGTGATAATCTAGCCTCATGATGTAAACTCAGGTCCAGAAATCTTACAGGCTTCACAGAATCTTCAGAGGACATTTAGTCCCAATTTGTAATCGTGGAGCCCATTAATATCCCAAAATGTAATACTGCTAAAGCCAGTACCCACTCCCTGCTAGAGCCCGTACCCACTCCCTGCTAAAGCCCGTACCCACTCTCTGCTGAACACCGTACCCACTCCCTGCTGAAGGCACCAGCGGCAGTTTCACCGCCTCACGTCTTCTCTCTCCCCCCCCTCCGGAGCCCCATATACCCCAAGTACATCATCAGACATGACGAAGGGTGGATTCTGACTTAGCCAATAGGGAGATTATAAAAACAACTATGCCGTGGATTTGGGACCTGAAATCAATTTGCATTCATTGTTTTCAGCTGAGAGGAAACACAAAGCGAGGCTGCTTAGAGCCAGCTGGCAGCCGATCACAAACTTAGTCCCAGCCATGGGAGAGAGAGGAAAGCAGAAAGAGGGAGTGCAGGGGGGGGGGATCACAAAACAGAAATGAGCTTTCTTTGCCCATATGGTCCTCCTTGTTCAGTCAGGTTAAGGTGAGGCATGATGCAACACCAAGAAAGATTCCTGCTCTCTCTTGAAGACAGCATGCCTCCCGCAGAAGCAGCCCCTTCTGTGCCCACCCAGCCAGGGGTATTTAAACCTCCAGGGGTTGCTTTCATGAGCTCCGTTCCGCTCAGCTCTTAAAGCGCCTTGTGCAAAGGAGCCAGTCGATTATGCAGCGCTGCTATTTTTCACCTGGCAGGAGCTCGTAATCCTTCTACGCAGCTGGAAGGCACAGCGCTGGAGAGCAGAGGAAGACGCACGTCTTGGAATCGCAGTGCAGATGTTGAGGAAACAACTGTGGAAGATACTGCCGCAATTCAGGAGGTATGGACTGGTAACGTCCAGGATGAACATTGAGAGGATGGATGGATGGATAGATAGAGGAATGAGTCAAGAATATTTTTGGAATGCAAAAAGGACAAATGGAGGAAGAGTAACCCTTCCATATGTGCATGCATGAGAAATTGGTTCTGGTTCATCTGTGAGGTTTCCAATCTCCAAGGGTCCTTCATGGATTCACATTTGGTCTGACATTATTAGTGTCCTCTTCTGAGCAGACTGAGCGCTGCTTTTATTCCTGATTATTATGTCACAGTAAAATCACTAAGATTCGCTCAGTTTTAGCAGCTTATGTCATGTGTGCATCCAGACTCCCCACAGACATCTCATGAGAGACATGCACTTCCCCCTGTAGCCTGCAGGGGCTGCTGTGGAACTGAGATGGTGAGCCTGGGTTGGAGCACATAGTCATTAGGAGCACAAAATCTGCCTGTTGAAAGAGAGGGGAAGGCAGAAGGGAATCTCATTAGCTATCGGCGAGCAGGCAACGGGCCTGCTGGGCCGGCGTGATTCTCACTGGTGTCTGTGCAGGGGACGGATGGCGGTGTCTGCGCAGACGAGGAACAGTGGTGTCTGCACAGGGAAGGGATAGTGCACTGGGAGCAAGCAGTGGCGCCTGCATAAGGGACAGACTGCCACGACTGCAAAGTAGCAAATTTGCAGCTCTTTAAATATATGATTAATGTCAAACTTATTTCCTCTTGGGTGAGAGGAAGGAGCTTCACTGCAAATGAACTGGGATCAGTTTGATCTTCCGTTCTCTCTGGGAAAAAATGGGGATCTGAATTTTAATGCATCTGAAGGCATCTGCTCTCTGAGAGCAGCCTGGGAAGCTGTTGTTCCCTCCCGGGGAGGTGTCAGGTTCAGCCTGATGGAACAGAAGCCCAGCATGATGAAGCTGCTGTGTTGTTGGGGGGGGGGCAGGGAACCACGGGCACACACGCTCATGCTGACATACGTGGGCAAGCACACACAGGCTGTAACACGCGAACACAAGCACCCGACAATTTCAATTTCAAACACTTTCTACAGGAGAATTGCTATCACCGCTGGTGGAGATGGAGGACTGCTTGGCCGTTGCGGCCATCAAGACTCTTTCAACTGACTGTATCCAGAAGTGGA